CAAAACTTTTCCTTTTTCCTCTCGTAGATCCTGTGAAAACGCCATCGAATTTATAAAAAGGTTCATTTTTCTACTAAAGTATTGAACCATTATTGATTGACTATGTATTTTGCATACTTTTCTCAGGAGTAATCTTTCTCCGTTTCGATGGCTTTGTAGAGTCAACAGAATCAACAATTTTATGAAAAGCGTAGTCCTCACTGGGTAAGCCATCATTTTCTTCGGTTTCTTTTTCCTCAGCTTCTGAAACCGCGGTTTTAAATATTTTTTTCATATCAGAATTTCTTCCATTCTCCAAAAACTCGGAAGACTTGTCACAGCGAAATGGGAGAATAAATGTACCTGACGTGTTGTCAAGTTCCACCATTCTGTAATTTAAACAGGAAAACGCTAAAATTGTTTATGCATAGATTGACCCGAATAAATAATAAACATTTTATCTTACTTTGTCGGGATATCTCCAAAAAGTTGGACACGTAAAGGTTTTTCGGATTTATTTTGACTTATTATCTTTAAAAACGTGTTAATATTACCTTAAATTCGTGAATGATACCCGACAAGAACAAGCTAAGCTTGACATACCTCTGCAGGCCACCAGCCAAATGTTTCCGTGCTAACCCAGACAACATCAGTAAGTAACATATTGAATGTATAGCAGGTTCTAACGGGACGTTAAAACAAGATCGACGCATATTATATATTGGGGAGTGATTGATGATTGATGATCACTAAAGTGGTCATTTGACAAATTCCGGCATGTGATGTTACGTTAAAATTAAATAATAATATTAATAAAATTTACTTTCTGGTACGTAGTACATGATTTTTACTACGTAGAACTGGAGATGCAAAAAAGCGGCTCAACCGGTCTGCATATTAATTATAATGAAAACCGATTAATCTACTCAAATTATAAAGCAAACTTCATCGCCCGATCTATTGCTCCGTTCGATATGTAATCGGGTTGTATGAAGTTATAGCCAAAGCTTAAGCCATTGTTTTAGCAATTATAATCTAAGCTATGGTTATTTTAGTACATGTGTATATAATCGGTTGATTTATTTTTACTCATATAACAATAACAGAATATATATGTACATTGCGAAAAATGTTAACAGGAGCTATCCTTATTCTGACTTAAGCCGTGATTTAAAGCCATAGCTTTGGCTATAGCTCAGGCTGTTAATTCAGCTTAGCTTCATTAGGCTTGGCTTAAATATACGGCTAAGCTGACTTTTTTGTAAAGCTAATAACATCCCTAATGGATCTTTACATCAAAACTCGCTAATCGTTATAAAAAAAAAAAAATTGATATCGATACGTATCAATTTTAGGATTCGCAATTTATGTGTCACGTAAGATTAATAAACTTGGCTTTAGCGTTAGACGACTTCCAATTTTATACGAATGCGTAAAAAATTACCTATTTTGGGCTTGAAAGATGTACTACGTTTTAATGTTAATCAAAAAAAAAAAATTTAATATCGATAATCTGATCATCTCGAATTTAGGTTACAGAAACATGCCCATAACTTCATATTCAAATCCTCCAGCGGAAGTTGGCTGTCCTATCCCAGCAAACACACCACACGCTATCTCCGTAGCACTTCCAAAGTGGCAAGATAATGTAGACTACGAAGAAGGTCGTGAGAGGGTTGTAAATCGTATGTTAACAGGGTATCCAAGATTCTTTATTAATAAACAAATCGAGAAGGTATATCATAAATATCTATACAATAAATAATACTATGAATTATATGTCTATTTTGATTAAAATTATTTGGCTTTTCTTGTAGTTAATGTCGACATGTGAACAAAAATTTGCAAAACCAACCGAGTCATGTCTGCTGTATCCTAGTCGTAAAACTGCAGAACGTTGTCGAGATTTCTTACGCCGATACTATGAATCTAGTAGTTCCGCTAGTCTTCGTTTAGCCGAAATTACCGTTGTAACACCAGATCGAAGCAAATCATTGATTCAAGGCAATGTCACATTGCATGTAGTTCTTTTTCCAAAAGAAGCATTCTCTGTGGCAAAGACCTTTTGGCAACATACAGGAGATGGTATTAGTTCCCGATTAGCTGAATATGCACTTAATGTACTGCAAACAGAATTCAATGAACAGTACACAAAAAACTTTAATAAAGTTTTTACGAAAAGAGCATCATTTTGTAAACGATATTCCAATGGGCAAATATCGAATCTAGCTTGTGAACCTAAGGAAACTTTACCCACAGATATTTCATTGATTGACAACTCTAATTTTATTGAGCAGAACTTTTATGTTGAAGAACGTTATGGTCGCAATTTACCTATATCATTTGGTGAAAAGGCAAAAATTGAACTTAGGCGAAGAATTGCTAGTAGCATTGGAGAGAGCAAGGATGGATCTGTTCTAACTGAACGAGTGGTAAAAGATGTAACAGAAGATGATGTTTTTCTTTTCCCAAGTGGAATGAGTTCCATCTTTCATGCTCACCGATTTTTATTGACGGCATTTTCACAGAGAAAAAAGTATCTGCTTTGGGTATGTATTAATAACATATTAATTTACAAATTATATTTATGATAGTAATAGAATAAAATAAAATTTATAGGTTTACATATGTTGATACCTTAAAAATCTTGCAAAAATTTGGACCCGGATGTTATTTTTATGGTAATGGTTTGTCATCAGATATAGATGAGATAGAAAGTCTTCTCGAATCAGGAGAAAAGATTTTA